AGCCCAGGACTGGAAAATCCCAGCTGGCAGTTGAGTCACTCTTTCCTTGAACCTCAGCTTAGACACTAGAGACATGATCTCCCTTTCAACCTAAGGAAGTCTCCATGGGACCTGGTATGGTGCCAAAGAAGATTTTTGAATGTTGCTACAGTTCAGTTGAAGAGCAAATGGATTCAGAAGTCTTAAGTTTGATTCTTGGCAGCTTTTGTGCATTCCACATTGCAACCTGGAGAGTTACTACCAATCAGTGTAGACAATGCTCAGACGGATGGATCAAATGCCTGCTTCATTATATGACACAGCTTGAAATGTTAACTTCCCTTCCTTTAATAAAGAGCAAGTTTTGGCTGAGGATCCTGAGACTAGCGTTGACTAAACAATCCTGCATATAATGAAATACACTTTTCTCTTCCCTTCTCCTTTGTTTCCCTCGTTCTGTTTCTTTGATACTTTGAGCTGCAATATGGCTATAATTTGTGTGTGCTGACATCTACTATAGAGGTTTCTTCTGTCTCTCTCACACACATACTCCTCTAAATAATGTTTTTGTACATGTGCCAGGCTGTATTTTGTTGACCAAATCACTTTGTCACCAAAAATGTATGCACTCCTTTGATGAAATGCATTTAATTGACAGAATGGTTTAAAGCACAGGAGTTTCAGCTGAGCAAATGAAATTAGGTGGATTAGATGAAGAATTCCATCAGAATTTGCTTCTATAGGAAATGAGCTTCATTGATCATTTTTGTCAACGCTAAGGGAAGCCATTTTATCAAGCAGACACATTTATTTAATAAACAAGACTTCAGAGTGCTACAGTCATTCCAAACTGGTCTGTTCCAGCCCATAAAGAAACCTGTTAAAATGATATTAATATATCAGGCTGCCCATACATGCAAGTTATTACTGAAGTAGAAATGTCACCTTTTATTGCTATGTAGTGAACATAATATCCGACTGGCCAGGGGGAGGTGTAGAGTGGAGTGGATTAAGGCTCAGTAGTTATCAGGGAGCTGGAAGAGAATACAGGAGCATGGGAGTCATGTCAATTAAATGGGCCACTGGAGAAAAGAATTAATTAATGCTACTTATGGCTTTGGGGGGGAAAGGGCTCTTGGTAGAATAAGGGGAACTATACAATGTGAATGTTATTTTCAGCATACATTCTTTATGTTTTTGTAGTTTTTCAGGTTTTCTTCATATTTATTCAAATTTTGCCTTATAACTTTTAATTTTGTTAACTAGCACCCTGTGCAGCAGTTACAAATTTTCAAGTTAGACTTCTGCATTTTAACTGTCCAGGATTCATATTTACCATAATCACAAATGTACCCCACCCCATATGCTCCAAGCCTTTCTTAACAATCAGCAGCTGCAGCAAGTGACAAGGATCTGTTTTGCTGGCAATTGCTATCCTGCAGAATGATGCTTCCAGTTCTCTCTCCCCCCAGTCAGCCCAGCCTGCCCCAAATGAGCCAAGTTGCAAGGGGCAGAAGCAGGTCCCCCAATGTGACTCCTTGTCACGTTGCAGTTCACGGGTGGGAGAAGGCTCATCATGCAGGACCTCAAAAACCAGTAGATCAGACCTTTATCACTCAGTGCAGCTGCTGGTTATTAAGATATGTTTGTGGGGTTGAGTCAGGAATGATACATTGTCACATATTTCACAATAGTGAAAGGACCAAGGCAGTGACATCTCTGGCCCATCCTTTGTTTGGGTATCAGCCAGCACGCCAAGGACTTAAATCAAGAAATAGTTTTTTAAGATCTACAGAGACACTTTCTGGAACACCTCAGCAAGCGAGAGTCCAAAAGTGGCAGGCTCAAACCCAGACCCTCCATCAATGGCTGATTCCAAATGAGAAACTCCCACCGGGGCACACAGAAAACTGGGCGACTTGGAAGGCGCTGAACAGACTGTGCTCTGGTACCACGAGATGCTGAGCCAACCTTAAGAAATGGGGCTACAAAGTGGAATCCACGACATGCGAGTGTGGAGAAGAGCAAACTACAGACCACCTGCTGCAATGCAACCTGAGCCCTGCCACATGCACCATGGAGGACCTTCTTGCGGCAACACCAGAGGCACTCCAAGTGGCCAGATACTGGTCAAAGGACATTTAATCAACTACCAAGCTTGCAAACTTTATGTTTTGTATGTATGTATGTTTGTTAAAAAATGCAATACAACTGTTTGGTTTGCTCCTGACATGATAAATAAATAAATAAATAAATAAATAAATACACATTTGTAACTACTCTTGGCCATTGATTTCCAAATAAAACCTATCTCTGCCTGTAAAAAAACACAACAGAAGAAGCAGAAGATCAAGAATAGGAAGAAGAATCTGTATCGAACATTTACCAATGCCCCAATAAATCTTTTAATTTGATATGTCATGAATAGCCATTCTGCACAAGGACATTGAAAGGCTGCATTTTCCCATCATACATACACTCCCTCAGAATTTTTTACAGTACAGGAACTTTTCTCAAACCTTTCTGCCAGCAGCTCCCAAGCAGTTGAAATCTTCTTGCTTGCAAAAGCTTTCTCCATCTTCTTCAGGC